AGAAGCACGGGAAGCGACCTTCGTCCCTGTTCGCTCTGGCGAGTACCAGGGCCGGATGGACGGGCGAGGCAATCCGGCAGGTGATGCTGTCAGTGTCCGTGAAAAGCGGGACCGCGTTGGGGAAGAGCTTCTTGATGCCCGTTCATGGCGCGCACGAACTTGGCCTCGTCAGTGTAGAGGTTTGTGTTCCTGTAGACCTCCATGTTCTGGCAGACCTTGCCATAAATGGCGTTCATGACGAGCTTCAGCATCTCAGCCTCCACATGCTGCCCCTGTTTCTTCCTGGCCAGCCGCTCTCCGTAGCAGCCGCGCATGAAATCGCGCAGCCACGGCCGGCATTTGAAGCTGATGACGGAGTGGACTTTCGTGACCACGGCGCCCATGACTTCGATCATGAACTTGAGACGCTTGGCGTCCACGCCCTCCTTGACGTGCATTCCGAGGAAGGGCACCAGCTTCGTGTCCCTGGTCTCTTGCAGGCCGTTGGCGTCCATGATCGAGCAGCTGTAGTCACTGAGCTGGCTGCGCTTGACGTTCATGCGCGCAGGGGGCCCAGTCCAGGGAGTCGTGGCGCTCTAGCGGGAAGGTGAAGTCGCAAAGGACGAGGTAGCAGATCTGCTCTTCAGCCTCGGGGTCGACGGCGTCCAGCGGCGCTCGGAGCCAGGTGAGGCGCTGCGGCTGTGCTTCCGGCAGTGTCAGCCACTCCCCAGAGGAGCAGGGCATCGGCATGGTCATGACGAAAGGGTACTCTGAGTTGACGTCCAAGGAAAAGATGTAGGTCGTCTCCTTCTCTGGCTCGTACCCCTCCATACCAGGCAGATTGGCCCTCGCGCACGGCTGGAAGATGCAGCTCAGCCCACCCATGATGGAGCTGCGCACTGTGCGATAGATCTTCTCTTGGCAAATCAGCCGCGGCGCAGGCTTGCGGCGACCCACAGTGGTGCAGAAGAGCATCGCATCGTAAGCTGCGCTAGGTAGGGTCACGTACTGCAGCGGATCGAGGCGAAACCTGGCAAAGAGGAAGCCCATCACGTCGGCCAGGGCGAGGTCCATGAAGAGGTAACAGTCGTGTACCTGTCGGAATGTGGTCCAGCCCATGATCTCGCAGGTCTCCCGCAGCAGCTTGTATGCGGCATCCCTCTTCTTTGTGAGCTCGGAGGATCCGCAGTCCAGCACCGAGTCGTAGGCTTCGCGCTCCCACACTGGCGGTCTGCTCCACATCTCTGGCCCGCGCATGTGGTCGAAGGGCATCGGGAGCTTCCTGAGCAGCAGCATTCCAGACGCCACACTTCCTCTCGTAGAGGCCCTCAGGCAGCTCAGCGTGCGTGCCAACCGGCCGGTCCACGAAGGGAGCTGGCGGGAGCTGCGCCATCGGGAGGCTGGGCCCAACCAGCAAGGTGATGCCCAACATTTTTCCGATGTTCTCGCGGGAGTTGTTGAAGCGGGCTGATTCCAGGTGTCGCTCGAAGGAAGCTCTTGCATCGCTGATGACGCCGTTCATGCGGCGGGTGATGTTCGCCTCGGGGGGCACGAGGAAAGGAGCCATGTTCAGAAAGTAGGTCTCCACACGTGGCTCGTCTGCAGGCCACTCCAGCGGCACCTCTGCCCGTTCCACCGTCGGCTGCACCAGTTCCATCTGCAGCTTGACCTTGACGAAGAAGGACAGCTGCACCTGAAGGGAGCGCTCAAGCAAGCGCTGCGCAGCCCTGATGTCCTCGATGGTCATCTGAACGTCAGCCCTCGGCCGCACCACGATCTCGTACATCCAAGCACTGGCACGCTCTCGCACGCGCGCCTGGCGCACCTGGACCCTCTCATCGTCCGCCAGCGCCGCACCAAGGGCGATGGCAGCAGCCGCCATGGCTCGATTATTCGAATTGGGGAAAGAAAGTGCTTGAGTTTTCTTAAAGGCTCCCGGCAAAGGGTCATCAACGGAAGGGTCGGGGCCGCTACAGCCCGTTTGTGTGGCAGAACTCCACACAAGACAGAGGAATGATGCTCTTATTCTCGTTGCGTGTGCAGTTCCTCGCAACCGCTGCGAACTCGAGCACCATCTAACAAAATAGAGAGGGTTCAAAAGCTCAACGCCGGCACAACCTATAGGCAAGCTGAACCTATTGGCACTCAAAAGCGGCTGGCGGAATCACGACTTGTTTTTTCGCTCAGAGGCCCAGCCACGAAGATGGTGAAGTAGTCGGAGCGAAGACCTGGGAGTCCGGCGTGGTTTTCTACAAGGACTACGAAGCTGAATGTGCGTCAGCATGTCACTCGCTCAAGCAACTATCACGCAAAACGGATGCCGCAGGATGGATATGCAGCGCTAAACATCTACAATCAGGAAGTCGCGAGAAAAAACAAAAATTGTCCCTCTCAGTTCACGCTGCTGCACCGGCTTTCTTCTGTTCACAGCCCGCGGTGCTTGCTGTGACCAATCCCAAGCACGACCTACCGCTGAACTCGCACGAACCTTCGATGCCTGAAGGCAGAAGCGTGTGGGAACGACCTCCCAAGACAAACATGGCATAGCTAGCCAATCTACCCACACGAGGAGTCTGTGAAATCACACGACTGCTGCAACAAAGAATGCCTGCAGCGAGGTCCAAGCACCGTGGAACGACCTGCCAGCCCACGCGTGACATGAGCAAGAAAGCAAACAGTAAACAAAGGTCCCTTGCTCAAACAAGCGGGGTTGCATGCACTCGTCAAAGGCTGGGCAGCTAACATGCAGCAGCTCCCAATCGTCAGAATGGTCGGAATCCCACTTGCAAGATTTGCCTGCCGGGGGAAAGTCCCACAAGGCCAATCGCGGCTTGGCAGCTACCTTAGCAGTCAGCAACTTCGGCCAGGGTTCGAGCTTGCCATGCGGGTGATGCGCGGCAATGCTGATCTGGATGGCCAGCACCTCGACCTCGGTCGTGTCGGCAGACTTGTACCTGAGAATGCTGTCGAGCACAGGATATCGTGGGTTGACCGGGGTGAAGTAACCCACAAGATCATCGCCGAACACTTTGCCCTCCGCATCATAGTCTTCGATGCTGCCAGGCTTTGCCTTGAAATGGGTGCAATCCACGGACACACGCTGGTCTTTGGTGCCTTGCTTGCAAAGTGTGAGGGTGACCGTGTCATTCCGTTTGGCAGCCTCCCGCCAGAACAGGTGGACCAAGAGCTCGAAGGCAGTGCCAGCGGCACCAGGGTTGATGTCCGAGAGTGTCCTGTACATCTTTGCCACCTGGTCGAACCCTGCGTGCTCGCTCTCCTTGATGCACTTGATGACGAAGTCGGAGCGGGGCATCGGCTGTGCTGCGCTGACGCCCTCCTCGAAGCGCTTATCGTCTTCGTTGGACCTTGTTTTGGGAAAGAACGACAGAAGCCCGGTACGGTGCTTCTTGTCAACGTCGTCCACACCCAGGTCCAGGGCCAACAACTTTGCCATGTCCTCTTGGCGCAGCCCTCGTACGGCGTCTAGAATTCGTTCCTCGTCCTTGTTGGGGTCGAAGAGATGCCGCACGGATCCTCCACACACCTTGTAGGCGTCCTCAGGTGGAAGCTCCAAGTGTTGACCTTCCATCTTTGCACGTAGCGTTGCGACTTCCCCCTCTGTCCAGCTCCAAAGCACAAGCTTCTGCGTGACATCCAGTATGTTCGACTGCTTACCGGTAATATTCTGCTGGCCGTGGCCAGACATCAGACCCATGAACTTCACGCCATCGAACTCTCGTGCCTGCTCGATCAGCTGCCGGACCCCTATGAAGATCTCCTGGGCCTGCTCCGGCTTGTCCATGCTCACGTCCACGATGCAGACCTTGTACTGCGACTCCCGCAGGACCTGCTCGAGCATGTTCTGGTCTGGTTCCAGTGCACCTTCCTGTACTGCCTCTTGACTTTGAAGTTGGCGATGGCGGTCACGTCTGTGTTCCGGATGGTCAGGTGCAGCGTCTCCACGCCCTTCTTCTGCAGGGTGTAGGCCACCAGCCACCCGCACCACGTCTTGCCGGTGCCGGGGCAGCCGACCAGTGACACCAGGCGAATCTTCTTCTTCTCCCACAAAGCCTCCACTGCTTTGCCGTGCACGTTGAGCAGATGCTGGCGCAGGAAGAGCGGTCGGTCAGCGGTCGTGTTGGGCGCCACGAAGTTCCCGAACCCCGTGACGTCGAGCAGCTCGTTGGCCTTGAACTCTTTAAGCTCGGGGGGCTTGACCCGCGCGTCCCCAGTCGTCGGGGTCGGCAATTCCTCAAGCGGCGAGCGTCTACAACACCAGAGTCGACCCTCATGCCCCAAACACAACTAGCCTGGAGAGCTCCGTCACCCTCAAGTGCAAGCTGACCTGGCCTGCGCTGGACCCGCGTTGACCTCCTTCTTGGCCGCCTCGACCTCCCTCTTGGCCGCCTCGACCTCCTCCTTGGCCGCCTCGACCTCCTCCTTGGCCGCCTCGACCTTCCTCTCGGCCGCCTCGACCTTCCTCTCGGCCGCCTCGATCTTCTCCGAATTGTTCTCAGCCACAGCCATCGCAAGCAGCTGCTGAGCGGTGTCCAACCCCTTCTGAGCGGTTTCCCGCGCCTGCTGAGCGGTTTCCCGCGCCTGCTGAGCGGTTTTCCACCCCTGCTGAGCGGTTTCCCACCCCTGCGTTGTCAGGTCTCGTACTCTTTCAGCGTGGTCAAGCTCCTGCAGCCCGCGCAG